ACCATGTTGAAGGATAGAATAGACCTCCGCATCTAAACGTTTAGATTTATATACAGGTAGATCATTTAATTCTTTTTTCACTTTATCGTTCAACTTAAATACTTATTTTGAAGAGTTTTCGAATCTGACTGCACAAAGCCAAGCATAAGATTGTCCAGTATAGAGGAGTCCCAGAGCAATCCAGACAACGAAACCCCCAAATCGTATATTGGGGACGGATACTGGCCTTGGGGCTCAATGATCTGCCTGCCAATGCGGCATAGCATGAAGGAAGTACTTAATATTAACAGTTTACATATTGTACTAATCGCAACCTCTTTATTTGCTACTTGCCACCACCATTATAAGCAACACGTTGAGGACTATCAAAAGCGTAGTAAACACCACTGGTATCAGCAGTGCCGATGATGCGTTTTGTAACAGCACTAGATCCCCGAAGTCCCTCCTTCACCATGAAATACGCCGCAAGACCAGCAACATGCGGCGCAGCCATGCTTGTACCTGACATGTATAGACTGCTAGAGTCACTCAGATGCCCAGCGCTGAGTATATCACTACCAGGTGCAAAGATATCCACCAAATTGCCATAGTTTGACCACAAGGTGCGATAACTAGAAGAATCAATAGCGCCAACTGTGATGGCCGATGGAGCAGAAGCAGGCGAGTAGTTGGCAGCATCTGACCCATCGTTACCAGCTGCCACCACGATAGTGATGCCGAGATCAGTGGCAGCTTTGACAGCATCATTGCCGATCTTGGTGTAGGGGCCGCCGAGGGACGCGTTGATAATGCTCTTCTTGGTGATGCCACGGGACTTGGCGTGATTGACAGCCCACTGTAGACCCTGAAGGATAGTGGACATGCTACTAAGACCGTCCTTGTCAATCACCTTGACTGCATACATCCTGCAGCCTTTAGCTGCGCCGTAGGTCTTGCCACCCACAGTGCCAGCAACACGTGTCCCGTGGCCAAACTCGTCTGTATCAGGAGAGCCACTGACAAAGTTAGTGCCCCAGAGGGCACGACCACCAAACTCCTTGTGCGTCGTTCGGATGCCGGAGTCGAGGATGTAAACGGTTGAGCCAGAACCAGCAGTCGCATCGTAGTTATATCTAGCGTCCACACCCTTCTCAGAATAGACTTGAGAGATGCGGGCAAGACCCCATGGCGCAGATGACTGGCTGGTCAAACCGCGTTTCGTGATCGGGCCTGACCTGGGCGCTGCAACAGCAGAGACGTCCACAATCGTATCCTGCTCAATGCAATCGACCTAAACGCTTGAATCAGCACCTTGTGAACCGGTTTCAAGATCAGAGCGACTCACCAGATCAGAGTCAATCACTTCTTGAAGCTCCGAGGAGGGAATCTCGGCGACATAGCCTTTGAATCCATCGAGGTCGATATTCTCCACAATACCCTCCTTTCCCTTACTTTTAGCCTTCTTATGAATGACCTCCTCATGCTTCTTCTTGCTGCTAGATGAAGCCTTTGATTTGTATTTGATGATATAACTGTTTGGGACGACAAGTTGCGGTTCCACATTGGCGTTCTGAACTTTTACCTGCGCAAGGGTCAACCCGACAAGTTCGGCGAGAAGTAACAAAGATAAAACAGGTTTCATAGTAATGGTAGTTAAAAGAGATCAGATAGAAGCAAAGCAATAAAGATCTATACTGCGTTGTGCGTTGCGATTGCAGCGATCTTCTTACAGTATTTATATCCCCAACTGAATTAAAATCATTCCCTATTATTACTAACTATAAGGACATTAAAACATTCTTAACAATACAAGCACATATTCTAGAATATGGGAATGGCAGTATCTTACCGAAAACAACATTTAGGTTTGTGCCTTGATACCTAAGCTTAGATCTACGGTTAACGGCGTTCCCGGGCCTCTGACATGCTATAGGGCTAGACATGTCTCTAAGCCATGATCTACAGCCTTGAGAACTAAACCGGATCTCTGGTACCATCAAGGGGCTGATAAATAATGTTTAAATTCCAGATGCTTCGCGCGTTGGCTTGCCACAGCCAACACTATTGGCTATGAAATGTAGATCTTTAAGTCTGGTTCCTGATTTCAGTTTTCAGCCACAAGTCCAGGCCCAGGAGCCAGGGCGAGATTTCTACTTGAGAGCCCTGATCAGCGATAGGTACTTGTTGCATCATGCTACAAATAGGAGCATGGTAAATCTCTTGCTAATACAGGTATAGAGGAAATGTGGATAATACAGAACTTTATGAGAGCTCTTCAATAGTAGAAGTTTCGGTATCTATCATTTGCTTCAATAACCTCAAGGACAATTGATACAAACTGTTTATTTAAGGTATGCGCACTTTGTAGTGAGCATACCCCAGTTGTGCTCTAAATCACCTTCTTCCCTTCGTAACAGCGCCTTTTCTCCGCCCACTCCCTATTAATTCCCTTATAATCCTGAATCGTATACCCAGAGAACACCTCCTGTGTTGCACTCTGTTTTCTGCGACTGCAAACGCCAAGATCGCGAAGCAACATATCTGCATACGGGACAGTATCGTACACGAACTCCGGATACCACGCTGAGAATCCACAAGGGTAGCGTAATTTGCCGTAGCAGCTTGACAGCGCGGTCTCCTTGTAGACTCTGTCCTTGGGAATGTCGATCATGTTATTGAGGTAGGCAAATGCCCAGAGAGCTTGTGTCTCGGCAATGATGATGTTGGCGGTGCTGTGGACCATTTTGATGAAGACAATAGAATTGTCGGATCGCGATGTCAGACCAGGTGATGCCATGCCGCGGTATAGGCGATACGGCGAAACCTTTTGCTTATAGGGTATGACATTCTTAGGTGGGCGAGAGAGGTATGGAAACTTCTGAAGGATTTCATGCTCGGCTTCTTTGTCAAGATGGCCCCAGAAAGCCTGCTCCTCACTGCTCATGTTCTCGGTTGGAATGCCGAGGCTTGCTTCGATTCCGTCAGGTTTGTACTGGATGTTGGGTGAAAGCTTCCATCCGGTGATGGCTATGAGAGCATCTGTCTGGTGGCTTGTACCGTCAGAAAAGTTGATCGTTCCGTTTTTTGACAGATGCGAGATATCTTTCTTGATGATTTGGACCTGTCCCGATGTTACATAGTCGTGGATATTGCCCGGATAGTTAAGGACACCGACTCGAGCAGACCAAAACAAGCTATTTGTTGAGGTCAGTGTGTGAATCGTAAAATCTAAAACTGAAAGAGATAGATACTTACCTCTCGTACGGCTCCAGTTGGGCAATGGCTTCATTCTTCCTATACCCGTTGAAGTTCACAGTGTCCATCCGTATCTTCTCCCAAAGGCGATGTACCATTGTTTGACCAAGCCATGTCCCGTGCAAGAAGCGACGAACCCAAGAGTACCCATCGTACTCCCCCCAGACACAGGGACTGAACCACGTGAAGAATCTCATAGTGGCGACATGTTCCAGCTGCAAGGTGAAAGGACCCATCTTGACCCAGGGCGGAGACATCCAAACACCACCGCCACCAGACTCGCGAATGACCCAAGTCACCTTCTTGCCACGAGACGCCATGAGTTGCACAGCATCATAGCCCGTCTTTGACGCCCCAACGATGGTGACGGACTTGACGTTGGGATCCGAGGCTACTTCGTGCGCCTCAACCTTGAGTTGGCCGTGGTTGAGGACTGGCTTGCCGAAGGACTCGCGACCTGAATACGACACTGGATTCGGGGTCGAAGCAAGACCAGTGCACATGATGAGTTTTTCGCAACGATATGAAACTGGGACGGGCTTCTCGTCCGCAGCTCCATCCTCGCCGACAAGCTCCCAGCCGCCTTTGTCTAGCTTTTCTATCGTGCGGATGTTGACGCTGAAGCGAATACGACGAAAGATGTCGAATTTGACTGCAAAGTCGGTCATGTACTTATAGAGAACAAGACCTGGGATATGCTCCCCTTCCTTTACGCCATAGCCGTCATGAAGAGGGAAGTCAGTGAACTCGTAGGTACCTCGCAGGTTGTTAGTCTTGAGGCCATCGTAACAGTTTTCTTCAGCCCAGACTCCACCCAGCCCAGATCGCTGTCGGTGGAATGTTAGCAGGTTTTCTCTGGCAGTATACGGCATGCGTGGAGTGTACCTTTTCAAGAAGCAAGACATCGGCCTCAGGATCTAGTTCCAAGTATGTCTTTGCTGCGGCAAGTCCCCCGACGCCTATTTGCAATTAGATGCAAGACCCTATATAGAATTTGGATCTCGTCCAGAGGCACACTCACCAGTTCCGACGATGATGATGGATGCTCTGTGTGACTTCATTCTGATGTTGGTATCCTGAATGCATCTACTTTCGGCGTCTTGTAGTTTCTGCTAGAACGTGAGGTATTAACTTGGACATGAGCGATGTTATTGACTGTAGGTGACTTTAATAATAAATTCTCGACCTTCTGAACCACTTTGTCCCTTGACAGCCGCAGCAACTTCCCCCGCAATGGACCCTTACCCCAGATAATGGAGCGTGGGGATTGAGCAGGGTGGAGCTTTCGGTTATCGAGCCTCAGCAATGCGTTCTTATTATCGCTCATTGTAATCTGCATTATCCATTTTCGTATCTGACACTGAAGACCTTGGGACGTTCCAGCCGGGAAACGGTGGAAGAGCCAGAGTGGGGTAATCCCCACGCCGAGCAGTTCTTAGTGGTACAAGATTCTAAAGTGGTACGTGGTAAAGTGGTACATGATAAGTGGATATCGGTAGTTGGCAGATAAGCTTGAAGAGCAGGCAGTGATACATTCTGGCGATCTCCTACTCCTATCAACACGATATTGCGCCGAAGCTTTGTATTCTTTATCAGCTTGATATTCTATCTGTGACTTGAACAATGAGAACCCTGGGCTTCAGCATGTATATGGACTCAGTAAGACTAAAGACGAAGAGAGCAAACGGGACTTCTAGTCGCAACGGCTATGTTCCTGGCGTGTAATCCACTATGCCACGATTAAACCTTGTACTCAAGGAGTCAACTCAAAGTATCTCCGTGTCCACAATGCCCTCAAGGACCTTCATTGCTTCGAAAGCAGCAGTCCATCGAACTGTCTTGAGATACTTTGCCACTTCAATAGCCAAACCATGCGGGCAACATCTATGCAGATCTCTGCCAATTGTCGCTGGGGTACAAGATGCCATATTTGAGATGGTCTGGTGCATAAGAGCCTTTGACTGCGTCCGCAAAATATCCTCTCCACCAATGCTATGATGACAGGCTCCACGGTTGTCGTCCCCATCACTCTGCCCCTGCGAGAAATGCACAAAAGCCCAAATCGTCAAGACGCCGATGTAGAGACACCACGGGTAATGGAACATTCCATTAGCCTTCCAGTTCCGCAGGTTTAATAGGCCCTCGCGGATCATCTGTGCAGCATGCCACGCAGCATGACCAGCCGAGTCAGGAGTCACTCGCACCCACTCCATCACCGCCTTTATGCTTTCTTCGCGCTCTGTGCTCGTTACAACATGCCCGAAGATTGCCTCAGCGCCTGCTGCGATCTGAAGATGACGGATATCCGCATTGACGACAATATGGGCCGTGTGATAAAGCGCAAGATAAGCCACGTTTTCCTGGCGGAACTCGTGTAGCGACGAGTCTTCATCAATGGTTTGTCTTGTGCCCATAGCGTAAGCATCATATTTTGTCTTCCAGAGCTCCAGGGCAGCCGTCATGCGACACCGCCAAGCGTTGCCGTTCCCCTCTGCGGCATTTCCAAGATAGATGGACTGGTTGTGGAAATGGACCATGTCGTTGCACATTGACATCAAGCCGTGCAGGATAAAGCTCAGAGATAAGCTGTCCAAGGTCTCACACCATATGCTTCCCCCATCCTCGATAAAGCCCTTTACCATATTGTTGATCAACGGGAGATCAATCTTTGAGGAAACCATTGCTTTCCAAGCATCTTCATCATTCGCCTCCCAAGCCTCTTTGGAGCATGGTAGGATTACTTGAATCGATTGGGTAGACATACTTGGCATGAACGAATAGTAACTGACATTCTGCGTATCCCACATAAAGATAAACAATATCAACCTAGACTTACTGTTAGTAGTTTGCTGATATACCTCTGGGAGTCGAGAAATCTTACCGTTTGTACTGCTCATGGTATGCAAATGCTTTCCAGTCCTTTTCGTGATCTATCCTCAAGTCGGGTACCATTATTCTGGCCCGAACGTGGTAACGGGATAGTCTCCTTATAGCCTAATCCTTGCATCAGTAGGTAGGTCTCTCAACATGAAAGTTAGACTTACGTTGAATAGAAATGTATGCATTACAATAGCATTTTCCCGCTGGTATGCTCCAGCTCGATATATCCCATAACATTCCAAGATCATAAAGGCCTGAAGAATGGAAAGATCAGGCACCTTGATCCCACTGAGCCCGCTCATGATGTATGGAGTCATGGCGTCATACAAGCAGACTGAAAGCTGATGGTCTTCTTTCTCCTTGTATGTAGCCCCAAAGACAATTAGAGATAAAATGAATAATGGCTCCGCGTCGAGAACCTCAAGTGTCGGTGTGTGTATCATGGGGTAGCAAGAGTTGAATTTGGCAAAGAATAAGTCTAGGTATTCCTGCATTCGGTCGAGCGAGAGGTCAGCTGTACTGTCATCGATCGATGTGCCGTCTGGGTAAACTGGTCTCATATCGTTGATGAGCCCGAGAATCTCCCCCCTCTTTGTTTGCGTCAGATGCAGGTTATTCAGCCCCAGGCGCCCAAGGGAGCATAGACTGTCCACTTCTGCGGAATTACTGCTTGTCTCAAGTGCTTCCTTACTGTGACTTCCTGTTGGTTGGGGGCTAGGGAGTCTTTGAAAGGGATCTGCAGACTCGCATTCTGTCGGTGTTCTAATTGTTGATGAAAACAGTGCTGTTGCGTCTTGCATTGGATGAGATGATTGGCCATCCTGATCAAAGCCAAGAGAGTTTGGGGGTAAGATAGGTAAGTCGTCTTGGCCCGGCACAAGACTTGAATCACGGAAGCTTCCTGGAGACTGTGGATCGCCTGTGACATTGAAATGCATAAAGTCAAAGGTAGAGTCGTGATACATGTCTCCGAGCTCAAGAAAGTCAAAGCCCTCTGTGCTCAGAATTCCTCCGTGGGGTTCATCAGAGATGGCTTCGTCGAACGTGGCAGATCGTTCTGTCGCTTCTTGGAAGTTACCGACCGCTGATTCATCGCTCCCCGCTACACCTACGTGTTCAGGAAGAGCTGAAGAGATCATATCAGTGCCCGGTTGATCTATTGTCACTACTCTCTGCGGGTCCCTTGATGTTGCCAATGGCTGGCCGCTCGTTGACCCAGAAGCCATTATAAGTCGGCCCCGACGATGTCGTTTAGTCCTGAGGATGCCGAGCCCTAACCCGCCAGCTAGCCGGTCTTTACTTGCATGGCGAGCCTTGTGTCGCTCTGAAAAAAGTGGGTTGGTAAGTTTTCGTTTTTTACAGATCAAGGCATGGGTATACGTACCAAGGAGATCGCGGCGCTTGAAGGATGCAGCACAACGAGGGCATTCAAACTCGACGGCCGAATGGTTCAGAGCGTGCCACGCGAGATGGGATGGCCGACTGAATGACTTTCCGCACCCTGGCTTGGGGCATTGATGCCGCTTGGCTACACGCCTTCGGCTCCGCACCTCCTCATACCGTGGTTCTCTGGGTACGAAGTGATTGTCATCCATCTCAACTTATCTCATGCAAAACAATTTGGTAGTGAAATGGAAATGATGATGTGTCGGATAAACGTCGTAGCGGCGAGAGGTGTGTTACCCGCCTAGTCCAGCCGCTAACCCTTTAGCCGATGTCGGGTACTCCGATGTAGATAAGACCTCAGTTAAACAAACTAGAGACGTAGAAGCCTTCCAGATATGGAAGGCGATGCATAATAGACCTGGATAGACATTTTATACAATGAACAACCTATAGTAAAGAGAGATTTATAACAATGTAAAACTGCAATTAAATAGAGATACTACCATAAGGAGCTTCCCGCAGCCACTACCATAATTGAGGCACCATTTTATGAAAACATTAATATTTTTGTAAAATAGACTCGCGACTTGAAGCGGTTCAGTCTATTATACTTTATTAGTGTATATGGCAGATCTTTAGCTTTAGTATGGCTCTCACCGAAGTCAAGCCTCACTGCTCTCAAGAAGCAGATCCTCTTCTAAAGGATCGTATAATATTTACACCGTCAATCGGCCAGCAAACTTTTGCAACAAGATAGATCTAATCGCTTCATAGGAAAACAAAAACAACATCAGTATGCCGACTAATTATGCTCCATAACCCCTACTCTTAATCGGTGCTAGCTACTACTTAGCGACCTGGCTTCGACCAAAGCAATAGGGCGCAATATCTTAACCGCGCAAGCACGTTTTGGCGGAGTATTTAACTCAAATCGCCTATGAATAATACCTAGGAGGAGATGACAGATTGTGCAATGGATGAGTCCACCGCGGCTTTCCGAATCCCTGGCGCAGGTCCCAGACATATAGCATTGGACGCAAGCAGGTGTATAAGCTTGTCAAGGTCAATGGTGATCTGGGAGGCTGGGTGATAGCTCTGCTCGGTGGAACTGGTGCACGGCACCCTCGGTGACTGGATTGGTATAAGGCCAGTTCTTAGTAGAGGGAGTGGCTCAGCTGGACTGATCGACTGTTCAGGACTCGGAAGTCCGAATACTGAATAGTCTGCGGGCTCGTGACGTCGTAAATCGACGGATGAGTCTCCAGTTTGGCTTAGAGGCTGCTGGAAATCGCTGGTCCGGGAAGTGACCTGTATTTGATCTGGTACTGCGGATATGAGACTGTTGGTTGATGTCAAAGACCGCCCGTTCTGCAGATCATTATTGTGAGTGAATATTTGAGACTCAAACTCTTCCAAGCTGGCCATATCACTCAAGTTGACACCTCGTAAATAGATCCCCCGGTCTTCCAGGTACTCTTCAACGTCTATGGCTTCTAGCCATTCCCCCTGCAATGGTGGGAAGTCCGTCGCCAACAGAGTCCTAGTCTTGCCGCGCAGGATCCGCTGCACTGATGGCGACGGTAATCGACGTACAACGTTTTTATCACCTTCAACAACACGGTAGAGGGATGGTAAATGAACCGCGGACTCTGGGAGGTACTGGTAGTCCGAATGATGAAAGAGGGGAAGAATCTTCAAGGTCTCATCTACGAGCAACTCCTTGCCGAGGATATTAAGAGGTAGAGTCAAGTCCAGGAAGCGACTCGCATGTCTAGAACTGCTTGATAAGATAGTGATGACACGTTCAAGGCAAGCTCGAATGATCCTATCCGACAGCGAGCCCAAGGCTTGGTTATTCGTTCGTAGTGTCAGGGCTACCCCGTCGGATGAACCGGTGAGTGCCAGAGCTGGCATATGAGCCGTCGTGGGCTCCAGACCCAAGATCCAGTCATTTTGCAATTCCCCAGCAGCGGCTGTACTTGAGAGCGACGTTGTTCCTGGGGCGGGCTGCTGAATGTTCGGGTACGTGGATTCGGAAGCAGATAAAAGCCTAGCTGTCTTGTTTGTGTCACTGGCAATTGTCGCCATTTCTGAAGCCGCATGGTTGAGATGAGCCAGGAGACCAGATGAGCCGTGTACTTCGGGGAACTCAAGAACACGCTGATGGAGGGTAGCAAAGGCAGCAAGTGCCTGGTCCAAAGCCCCGCTGAGTCGCTCGCTGCGAGCCTTTTCTAGGTTCAACGCATCCTCTTTCCGAGCTCGATACGTCCTTTGCGCCAACCTCATCCGCATCCGCTTGTTCTAGAGTTCTTTTAGATGGAGCTTTACGGAGCAGGGTCACTGCACGTACCTCGGCGTCGTCCCTGTCTCTGGCGTCGTCTTGGCCTTGTAGACGTGGTCGACCACGACGTGGCTCTTGGTAATGCGTCATTTTCTTCTTGTTGGGCAACTATCTGTAGATTTGGAAACGGTGCAATATTGAGAAGGAGAAGCGTGCCTACACCTGCTGATAAATCTATGCAGAAGACAAATTGCGGGGCAAGCGTAGGGAGTAAGTAACAAGCTAGACCATTCGTGGGAGACGGGCTGCTTGATGATCAATGCGAGCTAACCCCGGAAGACAAATTACGGGGCAATACTAATCTGTCACTAACTAAATTCGCTTTTATAAGCTATTCTAATTAGTCATGAGGTGAATGATGAGCACAGTCGTTGCGACTGAATAGGCCCAAAGTGATGTTTACGCTAGCTTGCCTCATCTCGATAAAGAAGTTGGCTGCCCCTCTGAGCATTGTTATGGTTCCAAACCTTTCATTCAATCACACAACCTGACCTCTACTACCACATTCGCAAACACACCCTTAACAATGATTCCCCAGACTCAGAAACAATGGGTAGTTCGCGGCAGCAATGGCTTTGACTCCTTGGAATTCCAGACAGGATGCCCTATCCCTTCTATCGGCGATCTAGATGTCTTGGTACAAAGTATTATCATCCACGACTCACCTTGGCTTCATCTTATCTGTCGCTAACTCAAGTCTACTACCGGTAGTTCACGCCGTTTCGCTCAACTTCCGCGACCTCATTATCACCAAGGTGAGCACTTCTGGGCTATGTTCTCATTCTGCAAATTACCATCCCTTCCTCATATCTCCGAGTCTCCAGGAGGGTGAGCGTTGACCAAGACTTTAGGGACTCTACCCTTTCCCACTAAAGGACGGCCTAGTGCCCCTATCCGATGGAGCTGGCATCGTTGTCGCCGTGGGCTCTCGTGTAAGCCGTTTTACTCTCGGCGACCGGGTTACAACCTTGTTCCACCAGCACCACCTCGCTGGACCCCTCGACTCTAGAGGCCTGCATAGTAGTCTAGGAGGCGCTTATGATGGGGTACTACGAGAGTATGCAGCATTTTCGGAAGAAGGTCTTGTTAGTGTTCCAGGCAATTTGAGCTTTCTTGAGGCCGCGTCTTTGCCATGCGCTGCCCTGACAGCCTGGAGCGCTCTTTATGGGCTTGAGGGCCGGGCATTGAAGCCAGGCGATGTCGTCCTCACTGAAGGTACAGGTGGTGTTAGCAGCTTTGCTGTCCAGGTGTGTTCCTGTAAAACTAGCAAGATACTCTGGACATTGTGAAACTAATCTTCTTGAAGTTTGCCAAAGCAGCTGGTGCCAAAGTCATTGCAATGACTTCGACTGCTGATAAGGCAGAGAAGCTCAAGGAACTAGGCGCAGACCACGTCATAAACTACAAGGAGAACCCCAATTGGGGGCAGATAGCGAAGAACTTGACACCCAATAACGAAGGCGTTTCCTTTGTCGTCGAGGTTGGGGGGCCAGCAACTGCTAGAGAGGTAGGCTAAGTTTCCATTTCAAAAGGCCCCTCTTCAAGCTAAAATCAGGTGCTGACTCGAGATCTTTTCTGGCAGGCACTCTATGCTGTAAAGCGCGAAGGGCTGATCTCAATGGTGGGCTCCATAGGCAGCTTTACTTCGCCCGGAAGCGATGCGAAAGCGCCGACTTTTCTTGACGCCATCTACAGCTCTTGCACGGTACGGGCTGTCGCTGTTGGTTCAAGACTTCAGTTTGAGGAAATGAATCGTGCCATAGAAGTAAATGATATTCACCCTGTCTTGGATGAGCGCGTCTTCGAGCTAGATCAAGCGCAGGAGGCCTATCAGTATCTCTGGGATCAAAAGCATTTTGGCAAGGTCGTTCTGAAAATTGTCCACTAGATTCTATTTTAGAGTTATTTAGATCGCTTACAGGTCTTCCATAGTCTGACTATATTCCAGGAATTAACACCAAGGTGGTTTTAGTTTTCTCAACATCAACTTGATATTTTCCACGTCCCTCCGTCGATCTACACCTAACTTCAACTAGAGAAGACGAACTTTTCGGCCATCTCCGAAATGGTCGTTTTGCAAAAATGTATGCTGTGTCATGTTATCCATGATGGTGGCATCTATCACTCGGTGCTCTCCTGGTTGCTTTTCTTCAGTGGCCAGAAGTATCAAACCACTGGTGAACACTGAGCGGTCCCACTTTACCGGCTGTATGAAGAGATAGTGGCTCGCTTTCTTAAGCTTGCGCCGTATGGTGAATTCCATGTCAACATCAAAGGGACTTTCTGTTGGGTATGAATACACCGTGTAGAGCTTCGTGCCCGCAGCAAAGTAGTCACTGTTGTCATCATCCACAGCCTTCATCCTGACCGGAAAAGCAGAAACGACCATTGCACCATTAGAGATATGCGGATGCGCCGCGTTTATACCTGCTCCCATCATCGAATATTCTCGCTGTGCGCAGATGCTAGGTAACCAACTCCTATTGGAGACAGGGTCTTGACGTGTGCTGGTCAATAGGATATTTGCCCCGAGAGCGCCGGTGCCCACTATCCTCTCCACAAGTTGCATAGGGTCGATCCTGTAATCTACAGCCGGAAGCTTGTCCGATGTCATGGAGAACAGGCTGTAGTACTCATCCAACTCCAGAGTGGCTTCTCGCCCACGAATCTTATCCAAAAGCACTGCCAGGGGACGCTTGCAGGCGTTTGCGTCAAGGATGGTACCGTGACTCGAACATCTGATTATTGCCCTCTGATATATAGATTCCTCTGTTGGGTCTGCTATCGTTGCTGACATGGCGACCAGGGTTGTCTTGTCCGTCTGGCCTACTTCCACAGCGAGGTGGGGGAGAGTGCTTATATAGCTATTGCCAAACGGTGAACTGCATAAAATGCCCACAAGTTGTGAAGAGTCGATCAGAGGGGCCGATTCTTGACCTGTCCAAAAGGTGCATTTCTTGCTCATGATGGCTTCTTGCAATGTCCAGCAGCGCTTTCTCCACTCGCAGCTCTCCCATATCTGCTTGACTTGCTGAACCAGCTCTGGACTGTATATTCGGACTTAAGGACCCTCTGCTTTCAGCTGTGCAAGCTCAAGGGGAAATGGCATGCCAGGAAGGATCAGTGTATGATCGGCGTTGGAGTAGTAGTCCTTCATCTTGGGCACCTCGGTTTCTTTGTCCTCATAGCTGTCTTGGTCTATGCACCATCGGTCGACCCAGTAGTATCGATGCTTCAATACTTCGTGAACTTTCGCGATGATCTTTTCCAAGTCTCCAGAGTCGTACGACTTCCAAGGGTATGAGAGTGCTATATAGCTCTCTACGGGCTCATCCGCAGGTCTGGTCACTATCCTATCTTTAAGATGCGCCTCGCTGCTCCGCAGAGCGTCGTAAAATCTCCGAGGTGTGACCTTGACCTCAGACATACGCGCTCCTTTGTCTGCTTCTGCTAGTCCCCCGGGTGGGAGACAACCGCATGACCCTCGATGGACCTCGCTCCTCGGGGCCACGGCATAGTATGGTACAACCCTCGAGACGAGCCCTTGCAGGCGATCCAACGTTAGAGGCTGACTACCGCCGCATAGCCTATCAAGTGGCAGAAACGGAAGGACGGGTGCCGCAATCTGCAGTTTGTTGTTGTCGTTAATCTCGGCCTCCAGACTGTTCAAGAGCTCATCCTGAATCTCTGATCTCGCTTTTACTAGCGCTTCTCCCATCTCCAAATGGACGCCAAGGAACTCTACACGCTCTAGTGCAATAGCAATGATGCTGAAGACTTTAGCCAATGTGATAAAGCTGTCGCAGTTCCACGTCGGTGGCACCTGCACAGGAGTCCTGTTCGTGTTCTCTTCCAGAACCACCTGCGTTACCCTGCCCGGAGATGCCGTTTTAATCAGTAGCCCCAAGCTCAGCATAAATGAGGTACCGACGCCGTTGGAGTCGAGGCACACGCATGGATCGACGGAGGTCAGGTCCGCCCTCTTCCTATTTTTGCCAGGCATTTTCCGCGATTCCCAAGGTCCTTTATTCTCTTCAACATTCGAGGGGTCATCAGAGTCATCATCAGATTCTTCATCTGTGAAGGTTATCCGCAATCTACAGCCACGTGGCTTAGACGTCCACGATGGATCCGTTTGCATCGTGTGAGAAATCTCTTCGTCGGTCAAGACGCCGCATATACGCGGCCATGACATTAATCCCTTGATATCGGAATGAGGCCCGGGAGACTCTGGGCCGCTGCGAGGAAGCATGAGATTGCAGTAGCGAACGTCGTCGATTTCGCCGTTGCGCTGAACACAAATTCGCATGTTGCGATCGAATGGGTCGTAGTCCGACATGTTAGTTGTCCTCTCTTATTTCCTTGCTGTTGTGTTAGGTAGCTATACGCTTCAGTCAAGATGAAAGTCGATGAAAGCCGAAGCTTCAGGCTGCTTTAGTTGTATGGCAATAGCTAGAAAGTATCAAAGAGGTATAATACGCTATGTGAGGTTAAACACAAAGTTGCGGTGTGAGATTGTGGAGTGTGATTTAAAGATATAACTCGTTGTAGTATGGGTAACTTAGCTTAGTACTGTATCGTACCATTGTTAACGCTTGGCATCACGGACGCACCCCGGAGAGGGGTTACAGGGATAAGCAGGAGTGGATCAATCCTCTCAAATCATTTATTCATATACAATGCCACTTCTTACTTCCAGGCTTTTACCATCTCTTTACTGGTATAGCTCTGTGTTAAAAAGCAAAGATACATATATGCATAATTAACTCTTCGTATGAACAGGCACGCCTTGAATCACAGCGTCTTTCTCACTTCCCTCAGATCCTAGGCCCATACCTAGCTTGATGGCTTCAGCCTCAGTAAAGGAGCCGAAGTAGTCCATGTCGTCAACAAGTCCAAGGCCGGGGGGCGGAAACACACGATTGATAACGTAATGGGCAGTGAACGAGATGGCAAATCCAAGCGGGAAAGCAAGATAAAACAACTCATGCCAGGCCTCCCCAACCTTGACTTTGTCAGGGGTCACACCAGCAGCAAATCCAGGCAGCTGAGTCGCAAAGCCAAGGAACCAAGCAATGAAACTTCTGGGATTGAAGCCACCAGTGAAGTAATAAATGCTGGTGGGGCCAGGACTGTAGAGATCGGATAATTTGATACGGCGGGAACGAATCATCCAGTAATCACAGACTTGTATCCCAATGATCGGCCCAAGAAAGACACTGTAGGCGGACAGCACTGAGATGAAGACGCTGGCTGAAGAAAGGAGCTCCCACGGGCACATGGCAACGCTCAAGACCAGAGCAATAAAGGCACCTCGCCTAATGTTAATATAGGAGCTGACGAGACCAGCGAGATCCATGCCAGCACTGTATGCGTTGTCAACGACGTTGATGGCAATCTGGCACATTACGAGACCCAAGCCCGCAAAGAACGCTGCGGCTCTTGAGCCAGATGAGTAGTCTCTGTCAAGCCACTGCTGGCAGATTAGGGCTTCATAGTTGATACACGGTTAGTGATGATGGATAATCGAGAGGGTGCTAGAGCGGGACTTACGAGGATTCCAGATGGCCTCGCCCCAGATGCCTTGTGTGGCTGATGCTGCTAGGCAACCGAAGAGAGGAAATAGCGTGCCGAAAAAGCTGTGAAGGTGAGTTGCTGTCCCTATAGAACTCAGTCGTTGATGGTGACTTACATGATAGAGAACCACTGCCCAAACACTTGATCGCCAGGCTTTTGAGCAAATCGAGTGTAATCATTTGCATTAGTCAGTCCAACTGCTATGCCACCAATGACAGTTGTTACACCCGATGTGATAGCCCAGCCAAGATCATGGGAGCTCATTGGCGTTGCACTCTCTGAAAGGAGAGGACCGCCTCCTTTAGCTTCAACAAGAGACCAGATCATGATGGATATGAGCGTAACCGACGCAATGATGTTGAAAATAAGGAGAACTCTCTTGATCTTGTGAGGATGGATCCATAGAACTGGAATCATGGAGACATTGAAAAGAATCCAGCCAACGAACTGCTTCGTGTCAAGATGAGACGAGGCAGGAAACACATTTCCTAGTCTCTGAAAGCTGGGGAATAAGGCGGACAAGATGACGGAGATGCAAAGACCGCCTGTCCATGACTGCACAGAAAACCAGACCAGACTGAGGATAATCCTCTGGACGATGGCGATAAAGGATCCGTATGGACCCCAGATATATCTTGAAACGACAGGGAAGCCGATGTGCCACTCAGCACCTGTATAGCCATTGAAGATTGCGACCAGGCTGATGATGACCTTGCCGATCAAGGTAGCTATAATGACTTGCCAGACGCTGAGGCCAGTGGCGACAAGAGAAGCACCCAGCTGCCAGTTGGATACTAAATGGGAGTCAGGCAACGCATTTAACTATGGAGATTGCTAGTGCTGGCTTACTGGCGACTTGGTTCACCAACCAGAAAGATATAAATGTCATGGTGTTCCATGTTCGACGCTCTGGCTCCAAGGGACGGATGTCGTCATTGATCCATACATTGGAGACGGCTCTATCTGCGCTTGGCAGTCTCATCCAAGTCAGAATGGCTTTCAGTGACATGATGGCAGAATATTCCTCCACGTCGGAGCTGTGACGGATACTAGAACTTGGTCCTATTGAGGTGACCCGTTCGGATCGCAATAGGGTTTGTGGGTTCTCATTCATTTTATGAGGTCTCTTATCACTATTAGTGTCTTGGAGACAAGCAAGCACCCATTGCCACTACCATCAGGTTGGGTTACATTGTGCGAGGTCCGAAAAGAGGGGTTCCAAACCGACAGATAATGATTTGGTGCCGTCTTGTGCTACCCTCCCTACGTTGAGCCTTGCGTAACGCTGTTCCAGAAAAAGGACTCATATCCGGTAGATGAGATCCGGAGCCCGGATGCCGGAACGAATCTGTCGTATCACATATGGCCTTGCCGACCAGGTGGTATTGCAATTAGAAGAGAAATTATCCGATTCGTTGGTAAAGGATGGACAGACCAAGATAAGTTATAGATAGAGAGATAATTCATGTAGCCCGACATCAACTGCCGTTTCGGCATTCCCAATTTGGAGATGCCGCGGCATTTAGCCTGATAATTGACGATGATCAACGGACTCGGATCGTTTCAACCCGACCAAAGTTGACCGAAGATAGGGGAACCACTTGCTCGGGACAATTGCACCGTTTGAGCAAGCAAGAGAGTTCAGAGATGTTCGTCTAAGTTAACCCCGCAACGTTATCTTCTAGATGCGAGAGATATCGCGGTAGAAACCCCGCAGATGCATGGAACCTCGCGATTTGTCCATGTAACCTAACCGTATTGCTCCACTTTCTATGGTAGCAATGATGCAAGAGACGATCTTCTATATGAGAAAAGTGTCGACTATCCTCACTTGCAAATTTGTTGTTGGGAGATTACTGCACAAGTTTCAAATTTCGAGCTCTAAACCCTGTCCGCCATGACTCTAAGTAAATCTGTACGCATAGGAGTCGACGTCGGCGGTACCAATACCGACGCCGTCGCCATAGACGTCGGCCTCGCTGCTCAAGGCGATGCCCAACGCGGAGTCATCGCTTTTAAGAAAACTCCCACCACGCCAGATGCGACTGCTGGAATCGAGACTGCTATTAGAGCTGTCATTGAGTCTGGCAACATAGTTCCCCAGCGGATAGCGAGCATCACCGTCGGCACAACACACTTTATCAATGCAGTTGTGGAGAGAGATGCCCGGCGACTTCAGAAGGTCGGCGTCTTGAGACTGTCGCGTTCGTTTCTCCGAGAAGTTCCGCCATTCTCAGACTTTCCGCCCGATCTCGCGGCCATCATCAAGGGATATTGCGGCATCATCGATGGAGGTCTGCATATTGATGGGTCTCAGGAAGCGCCCGTCAAAGAAGCCCAGGTGATTGCTGAATGCGAAAAGATCAAGGCAGAGAATCTGAAAGCTGTTGTGGTCGCCGGCGTTTTTTCTCCAATTGACGAAGTGTTCAAGCAAGAGAGCCGCGTCAGAGATATTATCCTACAGGAAATTCCAGGGATTGACGTCGTTTGTTCTCACGAGGTGGCGAACATTGGCTTCCTCGAGCGTGAAAACGCCAGTATCCTCAATGCTGCTATACTTCAATATGCTCGAAAGACAATGAGGAGGTTCAATCAAGCCAAGAAGAAGCTCAACTTGACATGTCCACTGTTCATTACTCAGAATGACGGGACTACACTTGATGCTGCAGCTGCAGCTAGGATACCAATTAGGACGTTTGCATCTGGAGCGACCAACTCGATGAGAGGAGCTGCATACTTGGCTGGTATTGATGTTGGCGGCAACTCTTCTGCAATCGTCGTGGATATCGGTGGAACGACAGCTGATATTGGCGTGATCCTACCAAGCGGGCTTCCAAGACAAGCTTCCGCCTACGTCACAGTCGCTGGCGTGCGGGTGAATTATTCAATGCCTCATCTGCACTCCGTTGGACTTGGTGGAGGTTCACTTGTGCGCAGCGTCGATGGAAAAGTCAAGGTCGGCCCTGAGTCAGTGGGCCACTACCTTGTTGAAGAGGCTCTCGTCTTTGGTGGCAATACATGCACGGCATCTGATATCGCTGTTGCTCTAGGAAGAGCAGATATGGGTGATAAGAGCAGACTCGCGGAGCTGAAACCCGAGTTTGTCCAATCTGCAAAAGACTGCATCAAGACTCTACTGGATGGCGCTGTCGATGTCATCAAGACCTCTGCTGATCCTCTCCCCGTCCTTCTGGTAGGCGGAGGTGCTGTTCTTGCACCAGAGGATATCTCAGGTGCCTCGAAGGTCATCCTCCCGCCATTCCACGACGTGGCGAATGCCATCGGTGCTGCTATTTCTCGAGTCAGCGGTGACGTTGATATCGTTCAGAGCACAGCCCACCAGACGGAGTCGCAGGCTCTTGAGCGCGCAAAGACGATGGCCGTCGAAAGAGCCATTCAAGCTGGTGCCATCCCCGAGAGTATCACCATGGCGAATGTGGAGAGTATTCCACTGCAATACGTCTCTCATCAGGTTAGAACCATTGTTAAAGCAGTGGGTGACGTTGACTTCAAGGGCTATGTATCAGAACTGGAGCTCGAGGCTGTTGACAATGATGACGAAGTCAGTGACGAACCTGAAGGGCAAAAGAATCGAGCTGTCAAGACTATAGAGGATATCCCGGTTGATCCTTTTACATACACTCCGACCATCAAGATCAACGATGAGGGCGTTCCTGAGTGGATACTCAATGAAACCGATCTGGCTTGGCTGGCTGATGGATGCTATGTGCTCGGCTGCGCGGGTGGCGGCACTCCAGCTCCTAGCTTCATCCAACTGCGGGATATTATACGACAAGGCCATGTCATCCGCATCATCGACCAGTCTTCCCTGAAGGATGATGCCCTTATCTACTGGGGCGGCCACATGGGATCTCCTGCCGTGTCGGTAGAGCGGCTACAGTCGACCGAGACAGTCGAAGCATTCAACGTACTCATGGAGTATCTCGGCCATAAAAGTATCGACGCTGTCATGGGACTAGAGATTGGCGGTGCCAACGGTATGGAACCGATGCTCGTTGGCTCCTCACGGTTCTTCGATGCACCCGTGATTGACGGCGACTGGATGGGTCGAGCATATCCTACATACTGGCAGACTACACTCGCGGTACATAAACCACTCGAGCTCGTTCCCTGTGCTATTGACTCTGGCGACGGCAAGAGTATCATCATGACTCGAGCGCCAGACGACGAGATTGTTGATAGAGCATTGAGAGCGTCGTGTTCCGAGATGGGAAGCCGAGTCGGCATGGCCGCTAAACCCACTACTACCGAGTACGTGCGAAGATATGGCGTGCTTAACACCTGTTCTCTTGCTTGGAGGATAGGCAGATGCATCGCCCGCAGTGTTTACAGTAACCAGCTCTCAACAGTCGCAGAGTCTATCATCGAAGAGGCTGGTGGGTTGAAGTCAGCCAGGGTGCTATTTCGAGGAAAGATTGTAGAAGTCGAGCGAAGACTATACAAAGGGCACTCGCACGGCGCTCTATGCATCGAAGCATTCGATGAGCATGTCGACGAGGGTGGTGGATCAGAGCGAATGACACCTGTAGTCTCAGGAGGAACATTGCGAATCCCGTTCAAGAACGAGAACATTCTTGCTGAGCACACCTCTGCTGACGGGTCTGAAACCAAGATCATCGCCTCGGTTCCTGATCTCATTGCTGTGCTAGATAATGGCTCTGGTAGAGCACTGGGTGTTCCAGAGTTCAAATACGGTTATAGAGTGACGGTCTTGGGCATTACGTGCTCACCACAATGGACTAGGACACCTTCTGGTATTGAGATTGGAGGACCGAAAGCTTTTGGCTACGATGACGTTGTATATAAGCCTCTCGGGGAGTATGTGGAACCTGTGAGTGTGATTAGAGAATATGCTTAATTTGAGATGCATGTATTAGAACCGCATTGAGGTAGTGGAGGCCATAGCTTCGCCCGAACCACCGGACGAATTTGTCATAATTGGATTTATAAGCAGAGGGAAACGAACCTGGGAACGGAGGGAAACTAAAATGCATGGCATTAAAGCCTGAGGATCCACGCGTCGTGCGGAGACAATAAACGTTAACTTATGAAAATGGAGTTATTATTAGCTACCTGCGCTAATTTACAGTTAGTGATCCCTCGACCAAAAGGTAAGCTAATGTATAAAAGAAGCTTGCAAATCTCGACAAGTATCCACGGTTAGTACATCAAAACAATTTCCACTTCATCAAAACCTCAATCAATGGCTCAAGCAAAGAACATCCTCGTTGTTGGTGGCACAGGAACGATCGGCGGGTATATCGCCCTAGAGGCTCATTCCCGCGGCTACGCCGTGGCCATCAGTGGTCGCAAGCCAGTCAAAGACGTCCCCATCTTATCGGATCTGCCCTTTTTTCAAGTCGACTACACTACTGGAGAATACAATTCGGAAATGCTCTCAGCATTTGACAGCGTCGTCTTCTCAGCTGGCGCCGACATGCGCCACATGCCTGAGAATGTCTCGCCGGACGAGTACTACCTACAGTCCGCCGAGAGTGCAATTGCCTTTGCTAAAAGAGCACGGGACGCTGGAGTCAAGAGATTTGTGTACATCGGTAGCTTCTATTGGCACATTGCACCCGAGTTGATTGAAAAGACGCCGTACATTCGATCACGAAAGATTGTAGCTGAGGGTATTGCGTCACTCTCAGGACCGGGTTTCCACGCCTGTAGTCTAGATGCGCCATGGGTCGTCGGTGCCGTACCAGGCTTGCACTCGCCCATCTTTTCTGCGTACGTCCAATTCGCCGAAGGAAAGCTAGGTATGGGACCCTCTGTGATCGACGCAAACTCCAACTTTGTTTCTATCAGAGCGCTGGCAACGGCGGCTGTTGCTGCGCTGGAAAGGAGCGAGTCTGTATCCGGCAGAACGATCCTTATTGGGGGTGAGAATATGACATTTGCGGAATTCTTTAGCCTTATATTCTCTGCTGTAGGCAACGATGTACCAGTCTCGGTCACAGACCAGGAACATCCTCTAGTGCCGGAATCGGCTCTTTGGGCTGGGCGGAGTATTAAGGTGTATGAGCCCGATGTGGAGGAGGAAGCTTTGCTAGGTGGCTATCGTCGATATTCTGTTCAAGATGCAGTTGAACGACTAGTTAAAGAATATCGATCGTTACAGTTAGACAAATAGGTCATGGGAATGGGGTAAGGATGACTCTGCAGATGGTCTTTGTGGGTGCAAACTGGTGCAGCCTCTTGTACAGGCATTCACGTCAACCCTTAGGACTCCGAGCCTTTGGTTGAAACGGCGTAGGATTCTTGTGAGATTGAATACGACTTGAAATCACACCTAAGTAGTTGTTCTGTTGTAGGTATTTCCCGAAGGTCAGCTGAGATAACCTCTGGTCAGCAAATCGGGACCCGCTAATGCGTATTGCTCACGGTAGTATAAGGTATCAATGCATTTCCAGGCATCAACTCCGCCTCCGTCTCCCAAGCCCAGCTGACTGTTACAGTCCACGTCTTACTCATGGTTCGAAAGTTGCACAGTTCCGAAGATTAACAAACATGGCGGAGAAGGGCCTTGATATTGACTATAGCTCCCTTGCGCCAACGACCGAGATTCGCATACTTACCCTCGAGCGTGGAAGAGGCGATGATCCAATTCTATGCACCCTCCGGCCTGTGGCGCGGGATGGGGCAGAATATCATGCTCTGTCATATGAATGGGAAGACGAAAGCAAGAATGATCCTTTCATCACTATCGATGACCATCACGTTCAGATTCGTATGAACCTCTATGATGCCCTAAATAACATAAGAAAGCCAACCGAAGACCAATGGCTTTGGGTGGATGCAATATGTATCAACCAGTCAGACGTCCAAGAGAAGAGCCAGCAAGTCGCCATGATGGGCGAGATATTTACAAACGCAGTCGGTGTCATATCATGGCTCGGCCCAGCCAGAGACGATAGTAATCTGGCCATATATATAATGTTCTATAACTATCTTCTCTCGGCCAGATTAAGCTCTTAGCTACAGGTCTTAGCAGTAAATAATACTTCTAACTTATAATTTAAATATTATATTAAAATATTTAATTAATTACTATAATATAAAGCTAATAAGAGAAAAACCTAAATAATAACTCTTTAGCTAGCCTTAAAGGTATATAAAAACCTTTAATTTTATAGCTAAAAAAGGTTAATTTAATACTATAAATATCCTTAATCTTTAAAATATTATTTTTAATAAAATTAATCTTATATTAATATATATCTTATTAAATAGTAAATATTAATAATTATATTAATAAAGCTATAATTATATTTTAAGCTATATTAATATATAAAGAAATTCTATAAAGTAATTATATCTATAAGCCTTTTAAAAAGTATAATAAGGCTATTATATAGTTAATCTATATATAGGACTTCTATAAGCTTAATAGTAAATTCTTTATTTAGCTAGCTCTTTTTAATTATAAGATTATTACTTTTATAGTAGCCTTTAGTAAATTTCCTAAAGAGGTTATTTTAGCTATTTAATAAAAGAAAAAGGCATTAAAAAAGCTATTAAAATTAAAAGAGATAATTTAAAAAGCAGCTAAATAGCTAATTTAAAGAAATAAAACTTAAATTATATTTATATTTAAGGTATAAATAGTAATTTATTAAAATAAACTTCTTATAAATATAGTATATAGCTATTAGATTTATTAAGAAATATTAATATATAAAAAAAGCTTAATAGAAAGTTTTATAATAATATATATATTAGCACTATTAGGCTAAAAATAAAATTAAATTAAGTAAAGGTTTAGGGAAATTAGAAGGCTATAGCGGTATTAAGTTTATAAGTCAATTATAAGGTTAGAAAATACACTTCAGGTTTAACACAATAGATGTTCCACAACGACACACCAGACGCCTCCAGCAAAGACTCGTGCGAGTTGAAAGCTCTTCTTTCCCTTTGTCATCGAAGATACTGGCGCCGAGTCTGGATCATACAAGAACTGTACCTCGCAAAGAGCTATGTAGTATGGTGCGGCCACAAATCCATCCCCGACCACAGGTTTGAGAGGGCCCTGGCTGGTCTCAACTGCCAGAACGACACGTATAGCGATGACTTTTCGCAAAGCCCAGCGAATCAGCACTTGATGGCCCGGTTGTTCCGCTCCACCGAGATCAACAATTTGTATCGCTGGCTATCCGTATGTATCCGTGGAGAATTTCAATGCACGAGGGAGCAGGACATCATTTATGCGCTCCTAAATATTTCGACGGATTATAAGAGAGTCAAGGAGGCTTTCAAGATCGACTATTCGAGGACACCACGTGACGTCTTCCTGGAGCTTTTGTGTCAGAGGAATCTTTCCACGTGGCGCCGTGGCGATGAAAGTCGCTGGCTGGAACTTGCGGAGAGGATGAAGCTGGACATAGATGAGGATCTGAGGAGGAAGATATCTGAGGAGGTCGATATCTAGGACACTTGCTGGCTGATAGATGACTAAGAAACGGCAATTATGCTGACTTGCCGGAATCCTTGGTATGCTTCGGAAGCATGATATCAGCCAAGTTCCCTCGCATTAAGACAAAAATGCTAAGCTGGATAAATGTTACAGGTTGACAGGCCCTTGACTATTGAAATTATTGTTGTTCATCTTTATGTCTATGTCGTATTCAAGCACTTAATAGCAATTTCACTTGACTATTTAGAAATTTGTACCATAACCTGACAGATAAGCGAGCAATTTGCTATCAGCAATAACACCATGACATTGATGTATGTATCCTATGAATCAAGGCTCGACAAGAACGTTGTAATCGGGCCTTGCAGGGTTATCTCCCAACACTGCCTCTCTGTACTTCTGATTCCAGGCAACGAACGCCTCATTGTCACCATGTTGAAGTGCCGCATCGTACGCAGCCTTTGAAGCTTGGTAAGTATTCAGTGCTGCGTGGTAGGCAGGCGCCTATCGTCTGGTCAGGCACATATCCCGTTTGAAGAAGACTTGTAGAGACTTACATTTTGAATAGTCCACTGGTTGAAGTCCTGGCCGTCGGTGATCCCAGCATCTTCCTCTTGCTTGAAATTGGATTCGGCCTCTTGTTTGGCGCTGACTGCGTAGCTGTACGCTTGCTGCAGCTTCTCCTTGCTGTCTTGGATGCGAAGTTGGCTGGCTGGGTCGGACATTGCGATAAGAGTGAGGATGCTGTGTAATGGAGGTCCTGATGTATGAGTTGATGAGTGAGAGAAGGGTTGGAGAATGAGGAGCCAGGAGTGGGAATTTATAGGCAAATTGTGAATGTGCCGTATCCTTCACTGACGTATGTCAAAATGGCAATCCTGCACCTAAATTAACTAACTAGCCTTCTTTGTATTGAAAATGACGATTAGTTCCACTTCGATTATCAGATCAACATGATAGTTGCGACTATGTAAGCTAGCTGATGTATGTCTCAGCTTCAGCTGCAATCTCACCGCCGATCGCAAGCCCTTTCAAGATTTAGCGCTGTACTACTATCCTATCAAACCTATCCACGAAGAACCGCAATACCTCAACAAAATGACGCGGGCAGGAGAATGGTTATTAGGCGGCAATTTACGTGACGTGAAACTTGATCAATTGGCTGCGAGGTCGTGCACGGCAACTTTCTCTGTCTCAGCTTGTCAGCGTGGCGTTGACGCTATTGACGTGTGTGCTGTACTGTGAGGTCAGTACCCCGCCTCAACATCTGCGCTGACCTTGATGATCTCTCAAACTCAATCCAAGCTCGCCATGAACCAATTCCAGGCTTTCGATTATGGCTCAGTGGAACTGCAGACGGCATCAACCGAGATCAGGCTGCTAGATCTCTACCCCTCACTAGGTCTGGTTGATAGCCGCCTGGCCGCTCATCTATACACAACCTCCATTGGAAGCCCCTCACCCTACATAGCTCTCTCGTATGTTTGGGGCTTAGGCGACAAAACTCAATCAATCCACATATCCAACTTAAATGATGATGAAGAGCACTCTATACCCATCACGGAGTCGTTGGAGACGGCAATGCGTCATTTCCGCAAGCCAGACGAGGTGATAACGCTGTGGATCGATCAGATCTGTATCAACCAGGCAGATAATAAAGAAAAAGGCCAGCAGGTCGCGATGATGGGAAGTATCTACTCATCTGCCACACAAGTGTTAGTTTGGCTTGGTCCAGCTCAAGATGGCTCAGACGAGCTGATGGAAGCATGGCAAGACATTGGGCAAAGGGCGAGGGAGTTTGGACTGGAGAACTACATGAACCCACAGAGCTATTACCTGATATCAGCATTGGGAAGAAACAAGGACCCTTCTGATAAGACTACTGTGAGCTTCCAAAGCTTGTTGGCCGGCACTGTAGAGGCCTTTGCTCCTTTGTTAAAGCAAATGACGTTGAAAAGATGGTTTGAGCGACCGTACTTTTCGCGAGTCTGGATCATCCAGGAGTTTTGTTTGTGTCCCGATACCATCTTTGTATGCGGCACAAAAACGATACCCGTGGACTTTGTCAAATTCGCGGTACTGCTGCTTCAGACCGCGATAGGCAACATGCCACAGGGCGACTATGAGCATCTTCAACCGCCTGAGATGCCTTTGGAGCGACTGTCTGAAGTATCTTCTGAACCAACAGCACGGTTGTTTGGTTGTCGTTCACGCCATCAGAAGCATAAAGATGACGAGCTGTACATGTTGCTGCGGAGACTATTCGTTGAGCTTGAGACGAATGCGACTGTACATCGTGACCGCATCTTTGCCCTGCTTGGCCTTGCCGCAGACGCTGAGAAACTTGGGATCCAGCCAAACTATGAGGAAAGTACGGAACGTATCCTAACGCGGACGGCGCGCACGTTGATCGAGAAAAGTGGACGGATGGACCTACTGTGCTACTCTCAGTTTCCGAAACTTGATGAGCTTTCACATTTACCGTCGTGGGTTCCCGACTGGCGATCTAACCTCAGTCGTTCGTTCTACAATATCAACGAGCGTATGGACAAACATCTTTTTGCTGCGTCCGGTCACGATAGTGTTGTCGAGGTCGTTCAAAACCCCAATGACAACTCGGATATTCTGGGACTTCGAGGTTATACTGTTGATGTGATCGAGGAAATAGCCGAAGGTGATGGCTGGACGGACATGAGCTGGGACTACGAGAGACATCTTGGCTATATGGCCCAGATAGACGATTTTTGGCAGAAGTCCATGAGTAAATCTGAGAACAAAGGAACCCAACTTCGAAAAGAAGATGCGCGATGGCGTGTGCCTATTGGAGACATCTACTGGACATGGGAAGGGGATCAGCAGAGAGCGAAAATGGATGTAGCTAGGTTCCACGCGCAGTTTCTGCAGGAACTCCAGCTTTTCGACGAAATGGCCAGACTGGCAGCTACAGGAGAAGATGTTTCAGAGAGATACCTGCAGTGGGAGGAAGAACATCGGGGCGCAGATACGAAGCATAACTATCGTGAGAGCATGAGGAAGATGCAGGGCAAGCGACCATTTCTCACAAAAGTGGGATATTTGGGTATGGGTCCAATGGAAGGCAGGTCTGGTGATGTCGTTGTTGTTTTTTGTGGCGGGCGAATTCCCTTTGTCCTGCGGCCTTTGGAAGGATCGAGCGGGCGTGATGAGTTCCAGTATGTCGGCGAAGCATACTGCGATGGTATTATGGACGGTGAAGTGACGGGAAAGAAGAAACAGACTTTCTGGCTCCACTGATTGAGTATCATTCTTCTCACCCCGTAATTCTTCAGCCAAACGTTCAATTTCCCCTTCATCTGCTAGTTCCTACGACTCTCGCGCGAATATATCCCTTCTTGTCCTAATTCTGAAGTGGATCACGAGACGTTAGTGGCTGTCTAACCTGCTACCTTTGGTCTAGCTAGACCCTTGGCTACGGCGCCGATGTCGGCTGACTCAGAGTCTTGCTGCGCGATATAGGGAATGAGTCAAGATCAGTAAAGAAAACAGCCAATAAAGACGATAGCTACTTTACTGTGACTTTATGATGCCCTGAAGCATAAAAGCGACAAATATACGGCATCTCCCCTGAGGCTTTGCTCTCTGATCATCTTTGTTTTGCCTCCACCTGGTCACTCTCGTCTAAGCTCCCAGCATTGCGTGGTGTACTTCAGTCACCAAGTCTTGTCAAAATGACAGTAAATCAACCAGAGAACCCAGATTTCATACAGATCAAAACCACTCTTACGAAACTGCCTTACCCACCATTTGAAGAACGCCCGACTGTAAGAACTAAGCGTCTCGTTCTCAGGCCATTCTACCAAGATGCCGCAAAAGACCTTTTCCCCATGCGCGCCCAGAAAGAAGTCATGATGTGGACTGCACAAGGCGCCCCAGACAAGGATCTCGAGGAAACCGAGAAATGGGCTGCACAAAGACTCCCACCGCACGACGAGACCAACTTGTACTACGTCATCAGTCTCGTTGAAACAGGCGAAGTCATCGGAGCTGGTGGCACATACAGGCGAGAGTGTGAGCTTGGCTGGCCGGCGATTGGATACGCGTTCCGCAAGGAGGCTTGGGGGAAGGGATACGCTACCGAGTTCCTTGTCGCGTTTATGAACATTTGGTGGGAGCTACCGCGGGCGGAGTATTCTATCGCTGTGGATAGGACAACACTGAGTGAGGAAGAGATAGTAGCCAGTGTGAATGGTTCTATTACGGAGCGATGTGCTGCGGAGACTATCAAGGAGAATGGAGCAAGTAAGCGTGTCTTGGAGAAGGCTGGGTATACGTGGGTTAAGGAATGGAGGAATGAGGAGAAGAATTGGTCGATCTATGGATGGGTGACAACTGCTGCGCAACTGCCTGCGAATTAGTCAAGGACCGAGAACAGGATACATATTGTCAATTTAGCTGTGACTTAAAGCATCTAGGGTCGGATAATACGGAGACAAAATACAGGAACATTAGTACCTGTGGTTCTGTTTGAGGGGCGCAATGAAATGGAATAACGGCTGACGATATTGACTGGTGCGGCTACATAAAAATCATAATACCACTGATCCAACCCCCAGATCATCGTCGCCGGCTAATAGGTGAAAGATTTCCCAAGCAAGATGCAAACTTGATATAGTAGAGAGTAACCTTTGCAAGGCTTTTACCGTTGTGGGCGAAGCTGTATCTATCGGCTCCAGACGGTCGAAGGGCCAGCCCCGCCCTCATGCGCCTCCTCATGATCTCCAGCGGGAGGAGTGACTAAAGTCTGCTCTTCATCGTGCTCATCGTGATATTCCGGTCGACCATGACAGTGCGGGCAAGGCTGAGGCGAGCTCGACACAAAGTCCCCCACGAGCTCCTTCACAATATCCTTCATATGACTTGTCCTAAACAACACAACCAGCACCAGGTAAAAATGAAGAAACATGTTAAACATCAGTGGAGTCGAGGAATAAGCCACCAGAAAAGTCTCCCCAGTATCCTGCCACCTGTTATGCGTCCAGGTGAAGCTGAGAGTCAAGAGTGACAGGATGCCCATTAATACATCGGCGATGAGACAATTTAATGGGTCGGTGATGGGCGTGGCGAAGGTTGCTTTGAGGTGCGCGCCTTGACGATGGAGGCGTTTCATGGTGAAGCCAAAGATGGCGGAGAAGATGAGCAGGATGAAAGTGAAGAAGGCGACGGGTCGGACCATGATGCAGAAGCGGACGAAGTTGAGGGGGAGGCCAACGGCGGCTGAGAAGAGGAGGAAGTCCCTGGTGGGATGGAAGACTGCCGCTGAGTTGATGGCTGTCATATTGGGCTGTTTTTAATTGTGTATCTGAGGTATAAATTGTACTGTGTTGCGATGAGATGCATCATTATCAGCATTAGTGGGATGATCGAATACTTATACCCCAAGTCCTAGACGACCTTGAGATGCACTGCCCTGATGATATGTATCATCTCGGAGGATGAATGGCTATGGCATGCGTGTCATCTTCCACCATATCCTCTCGGCGTTCTCAAATAGAAGGCAGATTGATTGATCGGCATCTTCTAGGCAGTTATTCTGTCACCGATTGAAATCCTTCGAGGCAGCAGCGTAAGCACTACGATGCACAACGAATTTATGCACCGCTAAGCTTGTCCAATCGAGATTGAACGATAGGTGACTAAGCGCATAATTCACCCACAATCAGAGTTCATTAACAATTTCTAAGCACTTCTATTGGCTAATCATCAACGATAATTATGCAGAGTCTGCCTGATCTTCAATATGCATTTTGCCTGCCAATGCCCAGCCACAATACAAAGCCTTGTGCTATTTATAGGCTTCAACGGCTGCTTGGCTAGATTACCCTAGAGCTTAAGGAAGCAGCAAAATTCTTGGTTCATGAATTCCCCTCTGGCCAACGCAGATCGAATTAAAGCCATTTGGGGATATGTCCCGCCGCGCAATAATCATCATCTCAATAAGGGAGAAGTATGCAGTGGCTTTGAGCAGCGCGTTCACCACGATGAAAATGCCTCCCCGCTCGTCCTGAAGGAACATGTCCTCATCAATCAGGTTTCCAGCAGGCGTTTGCGTGATATACATGCTGTTCGGAATAGCAGTGCCTTTTTTAGTAATTCCACAGGACTGTACTCTGTATAACCTCCGCTTTGTATATTGTACTCGTTGTTTTGAAAACGGAATATCGACGACCAGGCATCGCCGCTTTATGGAGGGTAGCTCAGGCTCCCCTCAGGTTTGGCTCAGGAGTTGCTCACCCCCAGCTCAGGCGGGCCGCCTGAGCCACCAGGGTTCCCTTCCCGCGTAGACCTGGGGTGCTCGGAATCGTCACCATCCAATTCTGACTGTGTACGCGAAGTGAAACCAGCCCGAAAGCAACAAGACAGCTGTACTGCCCGAGTTGTCTGCCCAGTCTCTCCCAGCGTTCTCTATAAGAGGGTGTCATGGCCCATCGCAATCTCCAATCTTCCCCAACTCAGACCTCTTCCCTACCATATAACTTGATTGACTTCAAATCACTCTTCTCTCGTTTTTAAAACCTCTTCGATGTCTAATGATAAGCGGCGTGGGCGAAAAGCCCAAAACCCCGATGAGCTTGTGGAGAGGGCAATACTGAATGGCCTTTCCCACGACCGTTCCCAACTTGATCCGCACCCAGTGAGAAGAAACCTCGCGGAACGAAGCAAAGAAAGATATGACCGCGAGCTTAGATTGTGGGAAGCGTGAGTAAAGTCCAAATGTTGGCTGATCACCATTAACTTGGTCCAGGTATGAGAGAAAGTTCCCAGGGTCGACACCACAGGACATGCAGACCTTGAAACATTTTGCAGAGTTCCTTGGGAGATCTAAAAGAGGACGGCTTCCCCAAGAAAATGGTAAACAGATGCCCACAGCCGGTAGTATTCGCAGTGCAATGCGAAGATTTTGCAATGCGTGGGAACGTGCAAACCATACGTATATAACTTTCGACGTTGAGAGGTCCATGGCTCCGGTACGTGTTTGTGTAAACATCTTGTGAACAACTTCCCTTGCTGATATATTCCAGTACATCGAAGGCGAGCTCGCGAATAAGATCGGCCTCCTTACCGGGAAGAGAGGTCAGAGAAAAAAAGCTTTCATCACCATCGAGAACTATGTCCACATGCAAAATCGACTCTGGACCAATGACTTTCACGACTATGTGCATGAAGGAAGCCGAGTCGACAACGCAAACTTACTGAATACACACTGCTTTACCTCCGCGCGATGTCAGGAGATATGTCAGGCAACATACCAAGTACGTCACTTTAATAACTAAAGGCGATTGATTCTGACTTGCTACAGGATATGCAATGCATCTTGTCATGGAAAGATGGATGTCCAGAGTTTCGTCTAAAATTTACCAGGGAGATCTGCAAAGCGATAAATGTCAACCAGTGAGTTCCTTTGGTACTGATGATTACGGACACCACTAAAATGATTCTGGGCCTGAGCATCCATTCGCAGAGCACATGACGGGACCGGACGGTCTCCCACCACCTCTTTTCGCACAGCCCATGTTACATTGGTTGGCCAATCTGATTGCATCACACGCATTCGCCGACCTGGACACGATCGAACAAGTCCTGTCGCTTGAACCACCAAAGAACGGTAACTTTCGCATCCTTCCATGGGCTGCCGATGTACGAGAAAAACCAGTGTTCCCGGAATGGTCCTCCTCGGGACCCAAAACAAAGCCAAAGAATCCCCAATCATGGGTCTCTCAGTTCTCAGACTGGGGAAACCGTGCAGGTTTTACTGCGCAGCTAGGGTTGCATGCCGTACGCCGGGAGGCTCTCATCAAAGTGAACGGTATGCAAGTCTCATCGTTTTGGCGCTACTTAAATAACTCACTACTTCCTAGATAACGGTTATTCACTGGGCCAAGTGCTACGGTTTGCGTCACAGAATAACACCAACGTACTTGTCAACAAATACCTCGGCAGTGTTTCTACGGTGGATGGCGCAGGAAGCTACCTTGGCATGCAACTTCGGGCCGATTTAGCGGAGGACTTTAGATCAGCATCAGCAGGAAGAAACCCCGGCCTTCATTTTTCGCTTCCCGCAAAGGAAACGAAAGAATTACAGAAAAGCCTGGAATATATTTCCCTGACCAACAAGATCAACGAAATCAACTTGGAGCTCGAGACGTCAACGTCACTGGAGGACCAACAACAGCTCGAACTACAACGCAAGGTCGCCTACAGAGAAAGGCTGCTGTTCGAGAACAAGAAGCTGAAAGAATTCCAGACGACACAAAAGGTCTTGTATGATATCGGCCAAGACGATCATGAGCAATGCGATTGGCGCCAGAATCACTTCAACCGCATCAGTCACGTGCTTCCAGAAGAACGTGTACGTCTCGCATACAGTCTGCAAATGAAAGCCTGGCCTCGAAGTCCTGAATGGATCAACGCCCTTCGAGACCTCGTTTCACTCAGATCAAATCATCATCCTGTGGCCTATCAGAAAGAGCTCCGCCCTGTACAGGGCTGCTGCCCTGTTGCAACCTGCCGCAAAAATATGTTGAAGTAAGAAAGCTACTCATCATGAGGCCACGATCACTGCTCACTGACATCAATCAGGGTACCTAAAAAAGACAGATGGCGGCATATCTATCGATGCCAGGAGAAAGCCTACGTTGAGGAAGTGGGATTCGCTAGATTTTGCTTTCTATGCAGCACTTGGCTCAAGGGCGAAGCTTCTTGGGTGGCTCACTGCAAAGACCATGTTGAGAAAGTATCATTCCCAGTTCGATGTAATCCAGTCACTCACCGTCACGCGGTCGCATGTGCTGGTTACTGTCCTGTTCATCTGGGAAGAACAGATCTTCCCGTGGAAGAGAGAATGCGTCAATGGTCCGACCAGGATGCCTGGAAGCGCCATATTTCTCGGTGTCTTGCAACATATCTCGTTCAACAGCAAGGACAGACGATTTCCTGCCCTCATCCAAAGTGTCCGGTGGAAGTCCAATTCGAGAAAGACTTTTGGTATCATCAAGGTGATATCCACAGTATTTTCGAAAAGACAGCAGTGATCGGAAAGCGTAAGACTTGTTCGAACGAGGATGAACGCCCACCAGAGCGACCACGAAAGTCGAAGCGAGTCGGCATCGAGCAGTCCGTGGGGCTCAAGGTGATACCATTTGTGCCTGACACCAAACTTCTCGATTCTAGGCACCTATATGACTCAGACTATGCGCAAACTCAAGACAGCCGTTCGCCAACGGATCCCCCTGATTCTTTATCTAATAGTCCATTGCTGGAATATGCCCAATCTGAGACCCAAGAAATGTACGCTTTCCCAACCTTGTTGGGCAGTTCTCCCTATTGCACAGACAATGAGAATCAGGTAGCAGGCCTCGTTCTTAGCTCTGCCTCCAATCTAGGTCACATGAAAGAGACTCTGTCGACTGAGCAGTCCCCATCACGAATGACTGGGATAATGGTACCCATTGATCCTCTACTAGTTTCAGAAGGGGAGCCCAGCGCTACTTTCGACCTGGACTCTTTGACGGCACCAGACAGCGATGCAAAGGGGGTCGTGACCAAGGATCTGAGCCACCGTGGTGCAGTAGTGCACTGTCAGCAAGACCCTCTCCAAGAACAAACGTATTCTGTTGATTGTCTACTCGGGAGATGGGGCAAAGATTTGTTCTATTTAAAATGGCTAGATGGAAGTTATGGCTGGGAGCCGAGGGAGAACATACTGGATGAAGAACTCGTCCAGGATTTTGAAGAGAGCTATAGAGGTTTCAAGGATGGCGTCGAGGTCTTACGGACTCGAATCCGAAATGGTAAGGCGGAGTATCGATTGCACTGGGATGGTCGCCCAAAATGGGAGGATTGGTGGGTCACGGAGAAGGAATTGCACCCAAAGTTGATTGAAGAACACAAACCGAAAAAGAAGAGCTATGTAAGAAGGAGAAGAAGAAACCGATGTGCTTATATGTGTTGAAGAAACGGATAATGTCGATACCTTAGTAGGAAGGGATGATATTACAATAGCAGGCTCATCTTTATAATGCTGATCTATCATCTCCACTCTATCTCACTTGAAACCACCTCGGGCACTGATAACAGGTCATTGATATTTTAGGGCCACACAGACGCTCTGTCCTCCGTTTTATGAGCTTCGTTACATGCCAACAGCGTCAAGAGTTGGCGTTACATTAGTATCGCTGGGTTATCTTATCGCTTACTCACATTACCAAAATTCACACTGGCTCCTGTTTCCCTCCATTATTCCTAGAACTTAAAACGAATACTTCATCCAAATCGTTCTCTTCGCATGCTCTACAAACGGAAATCCGATTGGTTCCAAGCGGTTAATCCGTCATTTTGACGCCCACAGAACTAGCCCGATTTCGGCCGCAGAAGACCTACATAGATATTTTACGATAGCCATCACTCCCCCGCTGCTGTAGACAGCGTCCCACGTCTGCAGGTAGAGGTACTTACGAATTCGACTCCGTACCATATGTCCTTTGAATGACCTCGGGTTCGAGCTCGACAGAATTTCTAAGTTGTGGTCTGGCACTCTGTCCACTCGCATGAGCAATACCTTGCTCTCGGGAAAAAGGCGACGGTCGATAACTACCAGACACCTCTGACGCTGTGAACATGACAGCTCGAGCTTGAGCTGCAAGTGTCGCCAAATCCTCGTTTTCGAGCTGCTTTGGCGGCATGTGGTCATGTTCGAACTGCGAAATGGTTATCCGAGATGCTTGTTGGCTTGATGAGCCAGTATTCTCAAGAATATCAGCTTGCTGTCCTCCAGTAGCGCAGTGTCTACAGCTCCCTTGTTCTGATTCGCCCAAGTCTCCGCTCACAAATGGTGCCCGGATTCGATACGTTACGATAAGTGATACCTAGAGTGGGCTGCGAGGCACCATGCAGCATTCCGTCAGTCTGGCTATGACTTTGTGGGCTAGGTATAGTTCCTGCACGTAAGTTGAAGTCTTCCAAACAGACAGAGTTGTGGTTGACTTTCGGCTCTTTGTTACACCTCTCGCTATCGATGCGGGAGCTACGCTCCACTTCTCTGTGGTGTTGATTACCTGGATTTCCTGGGCGGGTGATATCCTTGTCGTGTTCTTTACTCTTCATATCATCGTTTCCCTCGGTAGGCCTGTCACTAACAAGTCCCTCATAGAGATCTGCCTGCCTCGCGCTATCTTCTGTGTCTGCATTTGGTCCATCACTATCATCCGAAATAGCGATAAATTGTTCTGAAATAATGCGGGAATCGGACGTCAGACGAGGATCCCCAGTGTGCTTCTTTCATGGAGCTACGCCCGCTTTCGGTGACACATTCGTCTCCGAACAGATGCCCGCCTCTGGAGCAGGACTTGTTCTCGAGACTGAAATCGTCTGCGAAACCAGACTCTTCTCCATTGCCGAGTTTACTTGCAAGCTCGACTCCCTCAATTGATTAGCGTCCGTTCCCGATGCTGAAATCGTCTGTCGATCTGGAACCCCCGGTGTGCTTGAGTTCCGATGTGCGGATTTTGCGCCATGTTGTGCTCCTCTCTGGTCGAGTCCGTCTCAGTTACTGATTTTTGGTGAGCTAAGGCCTGTCGAAACTTTTCCTGAACACAAGGGTCAAATATAATGTCACCAAAAGCGTCAATCATGCCGCAAGCAAGTCTCTTGTGAGCGACATCTAGCCGCTCCCGGGAATCTTGCGGAGGAACCTACTATATATCATCAATTTACCGTGTGGAGATCTCTGGATGCGCATGTCTACCTTTTGTAATCAACCATGTCGTCAGAATTTGGCCATGTGAGTGAGCATGCAGAAGTACCACTGCTACCTAGAGTCTACGGCAGGGGTCCGAGGAAGTGGAGACAGGTCCGCGTTCCTGGCCCTGCAACTCATGCAGGGGTTCATGTTTGAACCCCTGTATTGAACCGGAGGTAGGGAGAGCAAACTATGAGAACCCTCCATGATCAGGTTCACACTTCACAACGTTTATTGATCTTGGATATGTTTATACCTTGACCTTTGCAGCTAAATTGATGAACACACCAGGGCAGGAAGTATGTTCACAGAAATTCTAGGGCATCATTCGCATGCGAGTAGGCTGCCGATGATTCATGCTACGAGTATAATGCCAAGAAGACGCATTCTTGACATCTAATGATGTGACTGAAAAGATTTCCAGAACAGGACATATGCGGGCATGGACTATGTGCCGGCACGAACTGTGTGACGGCACCAGATGTATGCCGGCACGAACTGT